CCTTGTAAAGGTATAAATTTCAGTGAACTTTAGTGTGAATATATATGCAAAATAAAAGTGTGAAAAAAGGACCGGAAATAATAATTTTGTATATAAATTATTAACATTGGTTATTAACTCTCAGATTTTATTCATAGAATCGTGTATGTGTGTTGTATTTTATCTAACATTGTAATATGACGAATCACTATATGCTGTTGTATTCTACTAATATGCAGATCTTGTGCTTACAATCGATTCGTCGTGGAACAATAGCCACTCCGCTTGTGAGATCTAGTCTGCGTGAGGTAGTTCTTCGAGGAAGTCGTGTAGCACGTTCATCTCGTCGAGTTCTTCGTGGAGTCGAAGTATATTCCGGCTCAGCCTCTTGTTCATAACGCGTCGATGTACGCCAGTCTTTAGGAGACCATTCTTCTGGACGCCAGTCTTCTGGCGGACTTGATTTGAATTCATAATATTTTCAATATATCTCAATAAGTTGCGATAATTTATCGTAGAAACAACGTCAACGTGAAAGCTTTACTATCATAATTAATTAGTTTTAGGTTACATACAGTTCGCACTCGGAAAATGCTGTATGATATTCTTCAGTGTCATTATTATTCTCTTCGCGGGTGCACATAATTGTTAATTTTGCGATTGCCAACAAACACGTATTTTACAATTTTGAAAATGTGAGTAAAAATTTAGAGTTTAAAAAATTATAACGATTATAAAATTACATCATGGTATCCTGTCGATCATCGACTATCGATTGCCTTTCTTATCATCCTTCACGACGTGAAATTATTTTTATCCATCTTATTCTTATAAATCGAAATTTTATTTGAAAAAGTGAATTTTTTATATCATGACTTTATATATAAAACAATATATACATATATAAATTAAAAATGTAGCGCTTACAATTAGTTAAATAAGTTTTGAAAGATTCCTCGAAAATATATGCGAGTTAAATAAAGCTTGGCGTTCATTCATGCTGACATGAATTACTTATGAATTGCCCGAGGTATGCCATTTAACACTGTTGACTGTCTGTCTTCGACTTGATTGAACACAGTGATTCTCTTTTTATATTTTCTCTTTTACGTTTCAACTGACTGTTACGTTGACCAATCGAAAGATTTGCTGGGATAAAAAATCGTTTGTTTCGAAGGGAAGCTGAAACATATCTCGAGGATAATCAATATACATCTGCATGTCTGAAAATTTAAGCGTATTTATTTGTCATCGTCTTGTCAAATGACAATTGTAATTTGATATCCGTTAAATTTAAATAGCAACGCGCTGATCTATCGAGCAATGATCGAGTTTTTAGATAACGTAATGTTACGCAATCGCGCCGTCCTCATGGCACAAACATAGCCCGTTCGTGATCTCACAGTAAAAGTTCCATGCACGCACACAAGGCGAGCGAAGCACGTAGTACAGTGGGCGCGTGCGAAGGACCACACACCGTGCGATATTCAAATGAACACCACTTACAGCCGACAATCGTGCTGCCATAAACGTCGTTTCGCGGTTTCACGTACGTTTCTTCTTATTCCGGTTAACCGTCTCCGAGACGTCCGTCACACGTGATTTTCACGGCTTATGCAAAACGGCTCGAAATTATCGGCAGCATCATCTCGATATGGGCTCTGCGGTTAATTAGCGACGATGTCACTTAGACTCGAGAAGAGAGATTGTAAAAGTGTGTTCCATTAACACCTTGGTTGCCGACGCCGTATGACTCCGCAAATGTGCGTTAATAAATCGCTCTGAACGTCACATATAATGTTATTTAAATCTGAATTTATCGAAAATAATTACAGCCGCATTTAATAAAATGAAATTTATAAATCAGTAGAGTAGTTTGCGTTACAACTGAATAAATAGTTGCAAGATAGTTCATTTTTAAATATTGAAGTCGCTTCTCGTCATGTGTTATATAATTATACAAACATTAAAGAACCAATGCATCCTAGATTAGTTAATTTTTCTAAAGTTGCTGAGAATCGGAAAGTTTAATAAATTATAAGCGAGCGGAATTACATTGAACTGACATTTGCTAGCGATCGAATTGATCGATTCGCGACCTTCTAACATCGAAACGAGATAAATAACACTTCATGATGTTGAATAAAAAGGTAAACATGCGATACGCGGTGAAACCTATGCATTTTCGGAGCGGATAACGCAGTAAAACATTCCTGGAAGGAGTTCGTCACTGATAAATGACTGGTTTTATAAATATTGATGCGACCGCTCATCTCACATTGCGGGTCAGAGCTTTTGATTTTGGTTTTCCGACGAGAACGGCGTTGGAAATATGGTCATCGCGTTGATGACTCCGATGATGATGGTCATGATGATGATGATGATGATGATGATGATGATGATGGAGCTGGCTCTCGATATCGGACTCTTCGAGGAGAATTTCTACCGGGGTGCGAAGCGCCGTGTACAACGACACCTCCGCGTTCGCCTCGAATCTGTAATTCAAATCCGAAAGTCAAATTAATTTAACGCTTGTCATTTTTCACGTTTCGGCGGCGCCGCGTTGCGGCACGCGGAGCCCCGGCAGCTATCTTTCGATATTTCATCCCGGGGAGGGCCGTGCCCACTCTATCCCTCCCCTCCTCCCACCTCCTTTCCCCCTTCGTGATAGATGCATTTCTCCATGATTGTGCTGTCACGTTCTTGAAACGAGGAAGACGCGCCACGAATATTTCAAATGTTATAAATGCGCGGCCGTGGGAGCGAATGACAGTCGACGTTGCGCGTTATTCCGCTACCGATGCATATACGGAACGTATATTTTATTCCCTGCGCTGACCTTGTAGATAATGTGCTGTGCCGTAAGTGATGTAAATTTCTTGTAACATCAGACGGCGCTAACAACCATCCTGTCGTGTTAATAAATTTTTCATTTTTTTCAAATTTCGGAGGCGTAAATATATACTTGATGACTCCGAGAATACGGCAGTGTTTACGATTCGATTTCTTCGGAGTACGTTCACACCCCCAAACGCGATGCTTCTATTTCGAGAGTCATTATGAGTTAAGAGAGCCTCGCGGAGGCTTATAAATATCTCTCATCTTATAACGCATCGATATTGAACGGTGGTCGAAACCAGTCGGCAAGCCGTGAATGAGTTAGTGCTTATAATCGCGTTAGCCTAATCGGTGCTGTAGGGAGTCCGTTTCGGAGTTGAAAGGGATTAAAGGCACTAAAACGACCCTATTAAGCCCCTATAGACCGCTACAATTGGGCCACCCGATCCCCCGTACAATAACGAGCGTAGTAACTTTTCGGGGAACCAAGTCTATCACACACAGTTGGATTCGTGAAAGGGATTCGAACGATTTCATGCTTGTCACCACTCCTCTCATTTTCTTGAAAACTGTTAGCACATTTCTCAAACTTATATTAAAGAGAGTGTTCTGTACAATAATTTCTCAGATTGTTAAATAATGGTGCCAAGCTAGGGGGGCGGAAAGCTTTTGAACGGTAATGAATTATCAGATAATATGCTATAGTTATCACATACATATGTTTGATGAAAAAATTGATGCGCCTCGAGAAAATATTTCTAGATTCGTGAAATTTGACGTGTAGACATGCGGTGGGTTAAATATTTTGCCGCGAATAAACATCACAAAGTACATTAAATATTGCTGTCTTTTTTTTCATATTTTTATTAACATTGCTTGTGCAAAAATTTAATGAATGAGGAGGCTTTGTATCGATTTTTTCGTCAATGTACAATGTAAAACTTATATTGCTGCAAGTAGTCAGTATTATGATATCAATTTCATAGCCGGTATTATGTCATCAATCGAATAGCAGCAGTGTAACGTGATGTTTGATCTTGCGTCTGGAATATTTTCTGAGGACGTAAAAGACACGTGAATACCTTGCCATATTTTATCGAGCAGTCGAAGCAGGCTTAATCCGTTAATAAGTTCTCTGTTCTCCCCGCTTCTCCCCGCCACCCCCCAGTCCACCCCCCCTGGCGACGGCGGTGGAAAAGAGCTGACGTGATGCATGGTTGCACCCCCCGTAAATTATTATACAAGCGCCACCCTATCTTCGAATCTGCGAAGTTTCGAAGATCTCTTTCTCGTCTCTCCATTTCTCGCCGCCGCCTATCCCATAGATCACAGGGAAGCCGCCAGTAAGTTCACGGTAAAGTTTATAGGAGACAAAAGGGGAAATGTGTTGCCGGTTGAAAAATCGCCGCCGCTGCAGCTATTATTAACTCGTGTCGGAACCGACGCGAGCCGCGCAGCCGACGTGTTTTCACGATATAATTCGGAATCGATTTAACTTCTTAGCGCCCCTGCGTGACGCGCAAAGGACTCGCCGTTGCGCTCGCCTCGTAACTCAGGGCGCGCAACGGCTCTTAAGTCTCATTACCATACGCCTTCGTTTGCCGCTCAGCTTCTGCATACCTATTACATAGTTATTACACCGCCGGTTTGCTCGACCGGTTACCGGTACCTGAATATTTATTTAGCCGATTACTTTTTTCATCGGCTCCATGGAAATTCGATCGCCGTCGCGCTGGCTGCTCCGTGAAATTATGGACAGCAAGTAAAGGATGAATAAGAGCCTTTAAAGGCGGCGCTGTTATTATGCATGCTCGCGATGTTACACACTGGATATATTTGAGATATTAATTATATTATCGAGAGGTAAATAATTACTCTCTCATATAAATAAGGTAGTAGAAATTTTAATTTTTCCTAGCAATAAGTCATTCCGCGAACTGGTTATTATTAATTAAAAAAATGCTAACACATGTGTCTCAATGATAAATATTATTCATATTTTTCGTAGGAGAGTTTCTTTAGCTGGCTCCGGTCACGTAAAATTTGCTAAATTTTAATTGATTAATAAGTAAATTGTTCCTTCGTACGGCGATGCCGAGTGTCTTTTCGAAGGATAAAATTACAAAGTAGAATGCGGTCATTTTTTGTCCAAAAGTAAAAATTTTTGCTCTCTTTCCTTGCAGATTCTTTAAAGTGATGGATGATTTCACGTCGACATGCGGTGAAGGTGAGTTTGCATTACATCACTCAATTGTATTCGTTGACTTATTATAAATTACGCGAAAGTCTCCATTCTCGTAAGAAAGGACTCGGAGATCGAAGTGACTTTATTGCGTCTCACTTCTCGAGTATGTAACGCTTTGCATTGATCGGGAATAGAGTTGCACCGCTGTGACGTTTGATGGAAGTTGCAAGACTCATGTCTGATCGGCGCCAACTAAAATGCATCAGGTTCAACAACAGTAGGAAATAACTCTTAAGAGACTTTGTATTAACAATCGTAAAAAAAGAGAGAACACTTGATAGATGCACTCGTGCATCCGACGAGGAAGAGCTCGTATAAGAATCCTCGTCGTTCGAACGAAACTGCTGATCACGACTGTACGAGCGCATCCCTTCCTAATTTACTCCCTCGATTACGGCTCGGTCGTGTTGTACGTTGCGAGAACGAATGTAGAATAGCCAGTGGTCGTTTTACTCGGTTGTACCGTCTGGCTTCTGTGTTTCGACAAGGACGACGACGACGGCGACGGCGACGGCGATCGAAAACGAATTCGATCCAAGTTCGAGGAGCGAAGGTCGCCCACATACGAAATACACATATATACCGAGACGCTGTTAATTATCTGGCGCCGTTTATCAAGCAGTAGAGAAGAAAGTTCCCCTGAGCATTCCTCCTTCTCTCTCTACTCTCGTTTCTCTTTCTTCGTCCGTGTCGCTGCCTTCCTTTTCTTCTCTCCCCTTACATGTACAGCACATCTCTGTCCTTCTATTTTTTTCTTTCATGCCAAACGACCGCTCATATCTATAAGACTGCATCGGGATTCGGTGTACGTGTACAATTTAAGAATCGAAATTTGATCCTTAGTTTATGTCGAAATATCTTGTATCTTAAATCTATGCGTCTAGTATCTGCCTGTCTTTGAAGTTCAACGTTCTCAGATAGCGATCTTTGAATAATACTCGAGATTTTCAAATTTATTCAACGGATAGAGTTGTTTTAAGCGCGCAAAACCCGAAACTTTGGGAGTCGATAGAATCTTCGAGATTCCTTGGAGACGTAAAATGTGAAACGAACATAACACCGTTCCAGATTTGCCGTTGAAATCGCATAAGCGTGCTCGCGTCGTGTTATCACAATTTACAGCTCTCGGATTTGTACACGGAAAACTCACGAATCAACTAATTCGAACTTAAGAGGTGGGACGGTCCGTCGAAGAACGAGTCGAGACGCATTCCAGAGAAAAAGGAGCCGCTTCGTTGCCCATCCATTCGCCACCACTTAACATTTATCAATACTACATATCCAGTGTCCAAAACGCTGGTTCATCACACAGAAATACTCGCGTATAGATCGCTCGTATCCCTTCGGTCATTTCTTCCTCTTCTTTAAATCTTTGATGCTAGAAGTTGAACTAAGATTTATACTCCGGTTTCTTTTAATTTTCTAAATTAAATTATTTTTATACTTTCCACATTAAATTCTAAGTTAATACTACTCAAAAATTGTTTCGATAGATATCTAATTATTTCTGAAATCGAAATTCTAGTCATTGCGCTTCGATAAGATACCTTCGAGCGTGAATTAATTTTTTTCACGTGAGCCTGAATTGACATTCAATTTATTTCAGACATCTCGTATAATCTTTCGTTCACCGAGCGCGACACACCCCTTGTATACGCTCCCGCATGCGATACGCATCGCGACCGAACTTAAACCGTTCGATTGATTTAAGACGGCGGTAATCGGCAGCCCGAAAAGACTCGCGATAACACGCCGGCGATATTTTCGTGTTTATGTGCGCGCACGGCACGACGTTAACGTCCTTCCTCGTTTCAGCAGCTCTTACATATATCTCCAACAGGGTTTACGCTCTTGCGCTAGCGAGCTTCTCTCTTGCGCTCTCGGCGCGAGACGACCGGGATCTCCCATCCACCAGGGGCTATTTGAGCCGACGTACCTCCCGCGGTATATATCATATTGCCACATTTACCACGTCGCTTCGGGTCGTACTTCGCGACTACTTCGGTAGCTCGAAAACCAACCTTCACCGTCATGCGGGGAGTGGCACGTGTGCAATTCCGGGTGCGCTGCCTGTCTTTCGTTCCTCCGTTGAAGATATCTCGGGGGCACGGACGAAAACAATATTTGCATGCGACCGCCCACCCTCGCTCCATCAGCATGCACGAGGTCGGACTACAACCGACCCTTCGCGTCGTTTCGCTTCGCGCTGTTTGAAACGTGATGGACTGAAGCTCATTACAGGTAGCGAAGTTCTACTTTGCTCTCGAAGAATTACTTGGCGAAACGTGCCGTTTTTACACTATTACTCTGAATTTGAGGTTCGCCTTCGTGAACGAAGCTCCTCTCGTACGTGAAACGGATTTGTGTGCAAAACAAGACACTGTTCAAAATTTCTCGCGTGATGTATGGTAATTTCAGCTTCATTTCTTTGAAAATATCTTTCTGATGTTTTATTTGGCCCCGTTAGCTAAACAGTTTACAGTTTTTTTCACTGAATAACTAATTATCGAAATTTTTCGTAAATTGAAAAGTAGCATGCGATTTTTTATTAATATCCTGAAGGTATAAATAAAGTTTGTAGTGCAAGTGAGTCGAATGTAAAACAGTGCTCGTAAATCTGTAATTATTAATAACGGAAATAAAATAAAATTGTGTAACGGTAAAATTAATGAATGGAATTTCTTGAATATTTTACTTCTTTAATATGTTTGAAGATTCCGTAAATTTTTAATAAAACGTTATTATGTTTATTTTGTAACGACACTGATGAAGGCTTAATATAGGTCGAAACGTTTGTCTATAGAATTTATGATAAAATATATTTGCATGAACAACGGCTCTTTTTGCCTTTTTCATCTAATATTGATTGATAATTTTATTGGAGAGAGAGTTTTAATATTATCGTAGTTTAATATTAATTAAACTTGTCACAAATGTTTATTTAGATTGACATTATGAAAATTATCTGCATTGTTTACTTTTTTCTTTTTTCAATAAATAGAACATATCTTTACACTGCAATATAATGTAAATCTAAAGTGACTGTACCATTGCGAATGATTGCAGAGCAGTGTGAAGCAGGTATCTCTAATTGATCGCGGGCTCATTTCTAATTGATGATATTGCTGAGTATACAAGGCCGATTTTCAATCAACAAACATTATTATTATCGTCATACTTCGACTCCCGTTGAGCAACGTTTGATCTCGACTGCCGAGCAGCAGGGTGCCCGGAAAGATCTTCGTAATATCTTTGATCGTTGTAATTTCGTACCAATGTACGAACATGTGCATGCATGATTCAAGTGCCAATTCATGAATTTCACGTCTTCGAATGCTGAAGATCTTCGATAAGCGAAATTCCACATATGGGAGGCTCTCGTAATTTTTTTTCTTCTTTTAATATCAGCACGCGTGTCTTACGGTAAAGTATCATTTTTTTTGATAAGAATATAAATTTTTGTTTTATTCACAAGATTATAATATGAATAGTGCCGTTAATCATATGACTGATGTTGGACATGCAATTCTTACGCGATAGTAATTCGTGATTTGTGAAAACGTGGAGAAAGCATTTTAATGCTAACAAATAAGAAAGCTTATTTGTTAGCATAAAGACCACGGGGGTTCTGGCTCCAGATTCACATTAGATGCCGACGTGTTCTGAGAAAATTCCACTGAGAGATGTAAGTTTCTGGCGTATGCAAAATTGAGATGACCTTGTGATAGATACCGCCGCGAAACAAGCTTACTTTGCGTGTCTTGTACGTGCACACGGTAGAATGTCGAATTACATTTGCGATGTATTATCTCTGGCCTATTTTCAACTACTACTATATTTTATCGCGTGTTATTTCCTGGTTTATTGCTATCCAATGAGCATTGATATATTAAAATAATAAAAATATATATATATATATAATGCAAAGTGAAACTTTTTAAATATATTGTGATTATATATAAATTTTCAAATTCTACGAATTGTTTAATATATAGCACAATTAAGCGGAAAAGTACAAAGAATTCTCCTCTATCAATTTTTGAGAGAAATATTGAAATTTCGCTCGTGAAATAAATTCATAGAAATATTTACGATCCTTTCATTTCTCTCTCTCTCTCTCTCTCTCTC